AGGGTAGAATGAATCTTCTAAGCTTGGAATAAAGTTCTCTTTGTCTCTTAATAGTCATGTCTTCGAGAATTAGAATATGGCAGTTGAGTAGGCTGTGGTACCAGAACCCCTGGTCTGGATGCTGGCTGCCACTAGCAGTGATGTGTACTCAGAAACAGTCGTGGGGACAGCAGGCTGACAGGCGACCTGCTAGACACTAGTTTGATACAAAATGTTAATTGAAAGTTACAATATATTTTATAATATAGCAATATATTTCATATTTAAAATAAACTGTTATGCTTTCTCCTATCATTAAAAAATAGCAAGCAGTACAGAGGCAAGATGCAAATTCATATTGAAGCTCATCTGATTCTGAATATAAACACTCCAGTTTCTGAGTTTGCCATGAAAATGTTTCCTCTGTCAACATCCTGTCGCTCTCTTTTGTTGTTCTCTTGTGGCCAGTGCAGAATGGAGAGTCTGGGACCAAAAACGAGTTGTTGCTCCACGTAAAAACATGTCTGATGAAGGTGGTGTCCTGGTTGCGATTTGAAAACCGAGACAATTAAGACGCAGCTAGAGAATGTTGTTTATTTCCTGCCCTGCTTCTGTGAAGCTGGACTTTGGCTGTTCCAATCAGATTCATATGTATGTATACATACATACATACATACATATATATTTTTGTTTGTTTGTTTGTTTGGCTATAGATGCCAGCGTCTCTTTGGGATCCTAACTGCAGGTTGGTGTTGAATTTTGTGCTTTTCCTCCACCAGCTTGGTTGGTCGCGACGTCTCTCTTGTCTGTTTCAAGACATAGTCTGGGCCCAAGATTACAGTTTCCAGAATACATTTCTCAGGTGTGTAAACAACTGTCACAGGGCACTTGGCACCTAGATTTGGAGGTCATACGTTGAAGATTTGACAATGGTTTTGTTCAGAGGGAACTCCAGTTCGTGTTTGGGTGTTCCAGTAATGGTGTAAGACAAAAAGATCACAGTTATTTATTTATCTATCTGTATATATTTATATACCATTGCACTGAGTACTTTTTTAATAAGCTGCGGTCTGTTTCAATAAAAATCTACATATGACTTGTCTGACAGGAGTTTAGCGTGTATTTCTATTCATGCAGCCTGGCACAAATTTTCTCCTACCACAGGCAGACAGTTAATATTGCTATCCCTGGAAACTCTTTTCTTAGTGATTTCAACAATCCCATTCCCTTAATGTTTACTTTGGCGGCAGTAGAGGAGGAAGGGAAAGTGTCCAGGGCATCATCAAGCCCACTAACTGTGGGGGGAGAGAAGGGGCCTTTCCTTGCCAACCAGGAAGCCACCAGATAGCTGTCTAAGGTACTGAAATCAAACGCAGCAGAGTTCATAGGGACAGCAAAATGATGACGAACGGATCCTTACTCTGCTTCTGGCAGCTTCTAGGAAAGTAAAATGGCTGTATAAAACTGGGGACATATTTTAGGACTTAAAAGCAGTAACTTAAAAAGAGTAGTAGCCTACTGGTAGTGCAATGACTTCACGGTATCTCAGTTGCAGTAGTACTGTGATGGTTAGCATCACTATTTGTGCAGGAATGAAACACTGATTCTCAATTTGGGGTGTACTGTTTGCTGAGTTACACTCTGGGGAGGCAAAAGTTTCTGGAACTATGTGCTAATCCCATAGTTTTCCCTCCTGATCTCACTACCCATTTGATATTCAATACTTACTTTGGTAACTATTTACTGCCTTCAAATGCATCATTAAAATATGGGCTAGATAGAATCAGTCTGGTCTGCTGTTGATGACACCAGCGATTTCGTTTTTTTTCTCTTTTGAATACTTTGTACTTTAGAGTATTAACTATTATCTTCATTTTAAGTATAGTGAAACGGAAGTATGAGGTGGTTATATTAACTGGCCAAAGATGTGACTCCAGTCTTTGATTTTATTTATTCTGATTTTGTATCACTAATTTTCTTCTTTTCCATGATTGCTTATTCTCAAGGAAATTACTGAAAATTTAAGGGGAAAACCCAAAATATATTAAAATCATTGTTTCTTCAATGCTGTTCCTTCTTGGTCTTTAATAATAACAATAGATTGCACATGCTCAGCCCTTAGAATTTACTTTCACATACATTTCTACATCTCCTGATTTACGAGACTGTTATTATACCTCTGGTTCCTGCTGAGGTCAGTCAGAGGTGACCCAGGACCGTACCCCTCTTGTTCCTTTGGATTGTATTAAGCATTTTTAGAGATAGGATGTCATGAAGTTACATATTATGAAGATGACGAGAGCAGTTCATAGACACAATATGGCAATTTATCGATGATGATCACACATATGTGGCCTTTGATCAAAGGTGCAGATTTTTATTTGGACTTCAATCTAAGGAGGAGTGAGCCTCTAGTCTGGTACAATTTACCAACTGATGCTATGTCCTGAAATCCCACTGAGATTAGTGGTCTTAAAGTATCACAGTACGTCCCTGACTTTACAGTACATGAAGCTATAATATGGCTTAAGCGATGAGAGGGTGGCTCTGTATTCTAATTCAAGTGTCCAGATATTTCAGGGACTATTAGAGTGCTTTTACCTGTCACTGAGCTATCAGAAAGATTATAGGCGGGATCTGCCACTGGGTCAACCTTCCAGGAGTGGGCAGAACTCCATCAGCTCAGTATCGGAGTGAGGTCACCGTAATTTATGGTTTTTGTGAATAGCCAATTCTTGAGCACATAAATATGCCTTTTCCACTACCGGACTTGAAAATAAGGTACAGCAAGGAATGGTGTGAGAGTCCACCTGCCCCCTCTTCCCATCTGATTGTGATGTGGAGGTGCAGTGAAATTAGCCAAAAGATGTAGGGAAAAAACCTGGGCGAGCTACACCCAGAATAATCAATAAGTCATCAAGGGTCGATTGTACTTGTGGGAGGATGGGTAACTTTCCCATGTAAAGCTGAAATGGGATCAACATGCAGATTAGATAATTTCTTTTTTCTTGAAGAGTAAGTATTATTTTGCCAAGGATAAAAATCACTTATAGCTATTGCACTACCAATAGGTCAAGTCACGCTACAAATGCCCATGTATTTCTAGGATGCCAGTGGCTACTGCTGCTGGAAATAATTCCAACCACTCTCTCGACTGGTGCTGCTAGCTTGGTCTTCAGGGCTTACCTAGGTGGGAGCATCAATGACAGATGAAAGAAGAATTATCCACAGACTATGATGGATAGATCACAGCCTGTGTACACTTTTGGGCAGGGGGAGTGGCAGGGGAAACTTGAATGTCATTTATTTGAAATTTAGACTACATACCAAAATGTGCACACACCCGTGCCCACACCCACACGTATCACAAGGCTACAGCAGAATGAAAGGGGTAAGTAGGGATCACTACTTGAGGGCTGTAGGTTAAATGATCAGGATTGGCACACATGGGTCAACCCATCAGCGATCTCCACTTTGTGAAATGGAACTAATGCCACAAAGGAACTGCACAATTATTTCATCTGTTTGTTACACATCTGCTTATGTGTTCGACTAAACTGTCACTGAAAACAGGAGCGCCATTCTTGGGACATGAAAAAAAGGAGGGGGCATCTTTCAGATAATCAATAGTTAAAAGAACAAGTAAAAAAAATAAGAAGCCAACAGCAGGTGTAGCATCTCTGGTATGCAGAGCAGCTCATAAAATGCTCGGAGGCATTATCAAAACAAGTCTTTAGGAAGTCAGAGCATCAATAGCAAGAGACCATGGAGGCTTAGCAAGAGACCAGATCTTCTAGAAAGAGTGGCCCTTGTTCTGCCCTTTTGCTGTCAGTTGATTTCCTTGTCCTTAAAAGACCAGGCTCAGTGCTGAAGTTGAATAATCTCCACAGCTAGGCCCTGCCCTCAAAACAAATGTCTTCTTACAAAGTTAAACCCAAGATGGCAACTGTCCACAGAAAGTACCCTTTCGTTTTACCTTAAACAGATGAAATATTCCATACAGTATCACTGAATGTCCTACAAGCAGAAATCAAAGACCTCAGAATGAGAAAAGTGATGAATAGCATGATGGTTTTCATACCACAAATGTTACGTGTGGTCAGATTATGGAGCAATGAAAAAATGTCTCAGTGCCTGTCACTACTCTGGATCTCCAAGTCTCTTAGACTTGGAGATGTGTTAGCATCGTTTTTGCACCAAGATGAACATGGCACAGTAGGGACAGGCTACTGACAAATCTATGTCCTCTTACCTTACCCACAAGGTTCCCTAAGGGTTCCCTTTATCCTTGCAATATTTCCTTTGGAGGTGACTTCAGGCAGGAAGAAGGGAGCACTTGGGTCACTCTCCATCATTTCTCCTAGCTCCGCAGCTCACAGGTGAGGCACTTGGCCCTGTGCACTCCTAACGCCTGGGGCTGGAAACCTGGATAAATACAGCTCAGCAAATCCCCAAGCCACACTTCTATCTACGAAGGTGACATGGGGCTGCACCTGTCTGTGTGTGCACATATGCACAATCCCTTGACCCCCCCTTCATACACCTAGTCATGTGGTCCATCAAAACATAGCTTGTTTGGATGTAAGAAGAAAACTCTGCAGAAGCTGTTATTTTTAGAAGCCTAATTATCCCTCTAGAACGCCAGCAATTTTGGCTTGGCATTCATCTCAAAGCAAGCATGGTGCATACCCAGGGCGAGGCAACCTGCATTGTATTCGAAGGGACCTGCATCTTAGGTGAAGTTTGGGATGCGGCCAGTACTCGCTAAGGACCTGGACTGAAAGCACCCCACGATCAGCTTCAAATCGACTCAACACACATTTAGAAAGTGCCTACTGTGTGCAAGGCGAGGTACCAGGTCCTTTTTTATTCGGGTTAAGCTCAAACAAGAAAGGCCCTGGACTGAACGTGAGATGCATATGTGTGTGCACACACACACGCTTGCAAACACACAGGTTGATGTGGGTATTCATAGTGGATGGAAAAATCTGGCTTTTTATTTGTCTGTCTTTTTTTTTTTCCAGTCTGAATTGAGTATGTCAGTTTTGGCAAGTTGCAGGCAGCTCTCTTTTCCTTTTGTTGCCCAGAGGCTTCCTTAGACAAAAGGAAAGGAGAGAGGTGTGCTTGAGGTCCCCCGTGGCGAAGAACCCATCTCCCAAGCCCGACATGACCCCGTCTCCCAGAGGGCCCCTCTTCCGGGCGGCTTAACTGTTGGCCACTTCAGTGCATCTGCCCCCCACCCCCCACGTGAAGACCTGAGATTGAGCGTGGATGTCTGTTCTCCAACAACTCTGCAGCAAGGGCCCTGCCAGAGGCGTCGCTTCCTGTCATCTCCTCTTCCCGCTCCCAAGTAGAGGCACCTAAACAGAGATTAGATTTCTGGTTTCAAGGCATATCAAACCAAGCACGCTGAATGAACATGAGTTAGTTAATTAGCTCGGTCTCTTTTCTTTCCGTTTCCCGGTCTGAATGTTCCTTGATGGCAAAGCGACCAGGAGAGAGTTGATTTGCATCTTAAGACCTATGGGTAACGCTTCTGAAGTGGGGAGTTTTATTTAGCAACTGCTTGAACTTGTGTATGGGGTCGGGAAGGAGGTGGAGCTGACCCCAATCGGGCTATCCGAGATCGGGGTGTGGGTGGTGCCCACGGCCACGCTGACGCCCCGGGCCTCGAGGATGGCAGACAGGAGCTGCTGCTGCTGCTGGCGCAGGGTGTCGGCGATGAGCAGAGGGAGGGAGTTGAAGCTGGCAGTGAGATGCTCCAGCTTGGACTCCAGGCTGCTGATCTGCTTCTCCAGGTCTTCGCTCCGGTCATTGAGCTCAGTGATTAAGTCATACATGATATTCTGCATCTGTGTGGGGAGAGAGAGAGAGAGAGAGAGAGAGAGAGAGAGAGAGCAGAGAGACAGGGAGACGACAGGTCATCACGGAGCAATCTGCAATGGGAAAGAAATGAAATACCCTCCCCAGGATGGTGCAGCAATGTCCGCCACAACTCTGTCCCGTCTGGCCAAGGAAGGAGAAGCAGTTTTCTTTCCTGAACACGGGGAGGGTGAAGCAAGCACAATTTTTTTTTCTCATTACAAAAGTAATGAGTATTAATAACAGCATTGTATTAGAAAACATGTATAAAGAAAAAGGAGCAACTCTTTTTTTTCTTAAACGGAGTCCGTCTCTAAGTTCTCATGTGCTTTCTTATTTTCTCTCTTTCTCTCTCTTTTCTCTCTTTCTCTCTCTTTTCTTTCTTTCTTTCTTTCTCTCTCTCTCTCTTTCTTTCTTTCTTTCTTTCTTTCTTTCTTTCTTTCTTTCTTTCTTTCTTTCTTTCGAGTCAGGGTTTCATTTTATCACCCAGGTTAGAATGCACTTACACAATCCCAGTTCATCTCCTGGGCTAGGATGATCCTTTTGCCTCAGCCTCTTGAGTACCTGGGACTACAGGCATGCATCACTATGGCTAATTTTTTTTTTAAGTGAGAAAGGATTTATTGAGAGGACAGAAAAGCTCTCACAGTGGGAGGGGACCTGAAGGGGTTATCCTCACACCTGGCTAATTTAGAAATTTTTTTTGTAGAGACAAGGTCTCACTATGTTGTCCAGGCTGGTCTTGAACTCCTGGGCTCAAGAATTCTCTCACCTTAGTCTTTCAAAGCGCTGAGATTACAGGTGGGAGGCACTGCATCTGGCCTTGTTCTCATGTACTTACAGGGACCTGGCCTCTCAGTTCACCTCCTGGCATCTAATGATCCAAGAGAGGATACTGGTGGGGAATGGACAGTGCAATAGACTTCTAATTAGAAAGTCAGGGTTCAAGTGCAAGTCTGCAGCTCATTAATAACGGGCCCTCTGTCAGGCATCTAACCTCTCTCAATCTTGATTTCCTTATAAAATTTGAGTTAATAATAACTACACACAGTTATGAGTTATTGCATTCCTTTCCCCCCATTTTAACACAGCAACCAGAATATAGAATGTAATTAACTCCTCAGGCACAGGCCTCAGTCAAAGGGAGCTTCCTTGCTGAGGTATGGCCATTCATCTACCTGACCAAAAGGTCAAGGAGGAGGTACAAAGACCTGGTCCATGATGCCTCCATTAGGGACATCCCTGAGGGGCCGTTTCATCTGGCTGAGGTCTCTGTTGACGATATCACAGTACAAACTCTCCCTCTGACCAACCCTGCCTCCCTTACTCCCTGGCAGGTGTCGCAAAGGTGCTCCCCAATAGCCCTCCCGCACCTAGCACTGTCTCCCAGTGCTCCAGGAGGCCCAGCTGATTACCAGTGCTTCTCCCCTGACAGCCCATGGCCCCTTTGGTGGTCTTCAGAGTCCGTGTGTGTGTGACAGACATATTTCTCCCAGCAATTGACAGACACCATCCTGGCTCTGCACATCAGGCTTTGGAGCAAGATTCAAGTGAGTCTTCACACTCCTAGGTTAGGTTCCTGGGGCAGCCATGGTAGAGGGCCAGGCTGGTGGTCACTTGGTCCTGTCACCAAGCAATGGATGGGAGAAGACAAGAATGCCGTGCCTTCTTCTTTTCTTTCTTTGTGTTTTATCCTCCCAACTCACCATCCTCCCAGTCTGGCCCTTTGATCTCTCCACATACCAACCCCACCCCCGCAACCCCTCTCCTACCGCCCTGCCAGGTACTGTGGTACTCTCTCATTGGGATCTGCCAAATGTTGTCCTGATCCTATTTCACCTGAAGCTTCCAGCTACTCCAGGAAGATGTGGAAACTATTTATGCCTCAGGGGCCAGAGGAGCAGGAAATAAGTTTAGAGAAAAAAACAAACAAACAAGAATAACAGAAGGTGGTGGCAGAATATGAGAAGTCAGAGAGAAGAGGAAGAAGAGGGGACCGAAAATGTAGTGATACTTTCCCCAGGAAATTCACTGAGGCAGAGTTGCAGAGCTGGTCTGGAGATGACTCCTCCCATTAGCTCGCCTGTTGCCAGAGCAGGACACTGTAGTGGATACCCTTGGTGGAAAGGGCAACTTTAGAAGTGAAAGTACTTCCTTACTTAATTAACATTCACAGAATCTTCTCAAGGTGCACATTCTTCCCGGAATGTACAAAATCACAAACTGATGTGACTGCAGGGGCACTCTGATGAGCTCTGGACTCTGAGTCCAGGCCCCTGGGCTGTGGCCCCAGCACCGGGGCTCGCCAACTGCCTGACCTTGGGCTGGTCACTTTGTTCCTTTGAATCTTGGGTTTCTTCATCTGTATTCACAATCAGGACTACCATTTGCAAAACCTTTCTAGTTTACAAAGCATTTTCACAGATATCATCTTATTGGGTCATCTGGGTCTCAGATGGGAGGAATTATTTTTAGATTTCAATGGAAGCCATTGAAGCAATCAGGTGAAGACTCCCAGCTCTGTCACCCCGTAAGATGGCTTTTCAATACAGGAAATAATATTTGGAGGCCACATGCCATATTCTTAATCCAGAGAGGACCAAAGGGCCAGGGTGGGAGGGTGGTGAGTTGGGAGGATAAAACACAAAGAAAGAAAAGGAGAGGGCAGGGCATTCTCATTTTCCCTGATCCATTGCTTGGTGACAGGACACCAAGGAGAATGGGGACAAATGGGAAGTACACTAAATTACTGCCAGGACCCTGGGTGAGTCCCACGAGGAAGGGAAAGAGACCAATGCCAGAGTTTACCTCTGCTCGGTCTCACGCCATAGCCAGTACAGGGTTCTGCAGAATCTTCCTTAACCCTTTCCCACACTCTCTTTCTTTCCAGGTAACTCACTCCCAGGTTGTTCAGGGCTTAGTTCCCCATCCAATTCACAAGAGCTTTCTAATCCACTGAGACTTTTGCTTCACCCGGTCTGCCCTGCAGGGCCCCATCTCTCTCAGATGCCACGGGTGTCATTGCAGAAATACAGGTTTGAAAGTTGGGTTTGCCTGCTGTTCTCAGGAACTCTCTGTCACAGTATGTCCTGCCAGGTGAGAGGTGAGACAGCAAACATTGTTACTGGTAGAAAAAGCATTGTGGGGCCTCTCGCAGGGCCATTACTGAAGCTCAAAGAGTGGACCCATAGCCATGGTTGCTCTATATGACCCTCTTCCTGGCCACAGCTGATTGGCCCAAGGGCGGGCACATGACCCAGAGTGGCCAATCATCTTATCTCTTCTGAGAATTTAGAATTAGGGCCAATAGGAGGCCAGTTAGTCTTTACCTGTGGCTTAAACTATAATATATACTCTTTGAGTTACAGTCTGCCATGGAGACAGGAGGCAGGCGAGGGAGGGAGAGAGAGAGTTGAAACAGGCACTTGAACAGAAGAAAAGAGAAGAGATGGTGAGAGACTACCTCCTGGTTGTGAGGGCTTCCCAGGTCTGATTCTAGTAAATTCCTTCCTGAAGTCTGACCACATGCCTGTTTGGGGTTCTGCCTGGAATGTGACTCCCTTATATCCTTAGAATCAACTCCTCCAATTTTAAACCTAGTTCCAGTGGGTTTCTGATAGGGAAATCATCACACTCAAAACCCCCAGGGAGTTCTCCTGTAGCCCATGTTCCATTCCCGTTCTGCCCACCCCCGGGCTCTCGGGAACCCTGCACTTCACCTATGCACCCTCCTCCAAAGACACACAGGCCTGTGGGCTTCTCTCCAAGTGTGCCAAGCCACTTATGCCCTGACTAAAGTCCTCACAGGCCTCAGAGGCCCTTCCTTTGGCTCAATCCCTTTATTGAACACAGGGCCTGCACATGGCCCGACAACCAGTGATTTTTCCTGATTGCACCCTCTTTTCAAAGGGTGCTTAATGTGCCTGAGGGAGTTTCTCTTGCTTACCCAGGGAACGTGTTCCATTATGGTAATTGACATCTGCTGGAATGTTCTGCCAGCCTGGCCCTGGGCTGTACACTCAATATACAAGTTCTATCAGGAGGCAATGAGGAGAGGGGCTGAGGAGGAGGGAGCCTTTCTTCAATGACACCTGCTCTCAGATCTGCCAGCAGTGCGGCCTTCACCTCTCTCACTTGGGTGATTTGCAAGAGGAGCGAGATTCTTTACAGTATTTATGTCAGCTCAGTGTTGGAAACACAGAATGACAGCCTGAAGCCCTAGGGCTCTCAAAGGAGGGTTCTCATTATTGGTATCTTCACATTCATTGTAAGCTATCTGCCTCTTGAGAAGTAAAGAAATGCAACCCCCCCCCCCAACTTGGGGTAAGAAAAAACTGCCAGGCTGTGGTGGCTGCCAGGTGTGGTGATTCACATTTGTAATCCCAGCACTTTGGGTGGCTGAGGCCAGAAGATTGCTTGAACCTAGGAGTTCAAGATCAGCCTGGGCAACATAGTAAGACCTCATCTCTATTTAAAAAAAAAATTAGCCAGGCGTGGTAGCTCACACCTGTAGTCCCAGCTACTTGGGGGGCTGAGGTTGGAGGTTTGCCTGAGCCCAGGAGGTTGCAGCTGCAGTGAGCCATTTGCCACTGCACTCCAAGCCTAGGTGACAGAGTGAGACACTGACTCAAAAAAAGAAAAAAGAAAAGAAAGAAAAACTAGGTGGTAAGAATTGGGGGATGCAGGAAGATGGATTTCCAAGTATAACAGCAAACTGGTGTGACCCAGGCAGTCAGTACAGCCAACATCACTGTCTGGTCCTCGCTGATGTGCTTTGCCTCATGCAAACTCAAGTCCATCCTTAGGAACCCCTGACTGCTGGACAGCTAATAAGATGACACATGGGTGCTCTCTCTTCCCCCACTCTCTCTTTCTCTCTCCCCTCCCTATGTGTCTCTTTCTCTCTCTCCCCTCTGTCTATCTCTGTCTCTCTCATGCTCTAGAACGGGCTGCTGCTGCTGCAGTCAGAGGAGCCCTGGCAGCGGGGGCTGTGCCCATGGTACTTGGTGCCCTGGCCTTCACTGGGGCAGGAATTGCCGCCTCCTCCGTGTCAGCCAAGATGATGTCTGCAGCAGCCATCACCAATGGGGACGGAGTTGCCACGGGCAGTCTGGTGGCTACTCTGTAGTGGGGGGGGGTGCAGCTGCACTCTCCCTATCATCCAACATCCTGCTGGGTTACATGGGTTCCATCTTCGGGGCCTGGTTGGGGGATTCAAGAAAGACACTTTCCCCTCTTCTAGCTGAACCCGGGGCTGAAGGGGATTGGCGAAAAGAAAACGCACACAAGCTGAACCTCTAAAACCCCCACGAGGGTCAGAGAAACACGAGGAATAAAGACCATGTGCAGACGGCAAAAAAGAAAAAAAAAAGATGACACACTGAAAAGCTTTAGTAGGTTATCTAATTAATTCCAAGCAAAGACAAATCCAAGCTATTTCACTTAAGAAACACTTGCCAGGTTTTAAAAGATGAAAAGTCACCCAGTAGATTGCACATGTCAAAAACAAAAACCCAGGTTATTTTTGAACCAAGGAGAAATTGTTCTTTGTGTTCCTGGTTCTGCACTGCCCAGTGTGAACACAGCTGGGTCTCGCAGCATACCCACGGGCCCCATGCCAGCGTTGGTGCACTCTTTAGGATGTCTGCAGGCATTGCCACTCACCTTGGAAAGGTCCACCAGGGTGTTGGCTTGGTCGCTCAGCTTCCTCTGCTCCATCTTGACACTCCTCAGCCTGTGGGGAAGAGTCGTAACAGGCAAGCCCTCGAGTCCCTGTCAAGGGTCAGCCCCACCAGCAGATGCCATAGCCCTATCAATGCCACGGATTTTGGACCCAGCATGGGAACCTTGAACATGGGCAGCAATGGACTAGAATCAAGTGCTCGCCGGGTCCCCAGGAAAGCAAACTCTGGCCTCCATGCCCACTGGCCTTTGGTCAGTTTCGTTTCCTTGCTATTCTCAGATTGTTTCCTGACTACTATGCTTTGCCTTGGCTGTGCCTTTCACCTTGAATGCCCTGTTCTCAACTTTTCAGGGTTTCCCTAAACCTCTAGGTCAAAATAAACGTTTTCATCCTTTGCTTTTCCACTATATTTTTAAAAATTCCTCTATCCTAGAAAACACCAGCTACGGTTTGTTTTGAGTTGCGTTGCCATGCCTGGGGTGTGTGTGTGTGTGTGTGTGTGTGTGTGTGTGTATGTAGACTGTGAGAGCCCTCAGAAGCTCTCACTCTAATTTTTCCTTTCCATTGCAGCCTGCCCAATGTCTGGCATGTGGCAGGGGCAGTAAGTGAATGAACAGATTGGTCTGGGCCCCGTTCACCATCCAGTGCTTGTTGGGTGGAACAGGTTGGATTTTTTCTGTGGCTCTCAAGTACATGAGAAGACACTGACGGAACCAGGGGGTGGCGCGGGGGCGGGTGTTCCATCACTCCTCATCCAGCACCTGACAGCTGACCCACTCTGGCCTACTCACTGATGGATAGCTTGGAGGAATTTCCTCTGGTGTTTCCTGACTTTGGCGTGGTCAATCTTCTTTAGCAGCTTTGTGTGTTTATAGATTAGCCACGTTTCCCGAAGGACATTGGCTGCAGCATTCTTGATCTAAGGAAAAATAAATAAAGCAGGCTGCGGTCAGGTTCATTTCCCCAGATTCACATAACATGTTTTTTGTGTTTGCTGCTGTAGTCTACTCCATAAGGAAATGATTCTACAATGATCTGTTTCCTTAATCAAAATCATGGCATGCCTAGAAAAGATGGTTAAAATTTGTCTCTTATTAATCCTGTATTGGACACTGTAGACTGCAGTTTGAAGTTGAAGGGTGTTTCTCTCTCTCTCTCTCTCTCTTTTCTTCCTTAATTATTTCAGTACTGCCTCTTGACTGCTGCTGCTGCTATATTTAGACAGGCTGCATTAACAAGACCTTGAGGCCTGAGGTACCCTCTGAAAAGATAGCTCTATGCCACTACTGCCTTCAAAGGCAGAAGTCCACACTTTACCTGGATTTCCACTTAGTGTATATGGTACCTTTCTTGGATTCAGAGAGTAAACAGATTTCCTACCAACTGGAGATTTTAAAAGGTTTCTTTGAGAAAATGTCTTTCCCACCGATTGGAACTAGACATATCAACAAGTCCATTGTCTCATTTCTCAAATGTCCAAAAAACATTTACACTGCAATTTTACATGTAAATGTAATTGGCATGAAACTGAAATAAATGTCTGAAAATCAGTGAAGACACTTAGGTGTGAAGGCAGAGCTGTCTCTTTCCCAAGACTGGCTTCTTCACTGCAATCACACGTTTCAACATATGACGCTGTCATCTGTTGACATGGAAACCACTGATATCACCAGGCTGAGCTGAGACATATCAATGGCATCCAGATGGCAGGGGACAAAGTTTTAATCCAAACACAGACATCTTCAGCAATTAGTAACAAGAGTAAGAGAAAACATTCCTTATTAAGCACAAGCTAAACAGATTTTTGATTAACCATCCCCATTTCTGTCAGCCATGCAGATTGGCACAGGTCCACAGGCCCAGGGCCTGGAAGTAAGTAGGCCAGTCTAGTCGAAATCAGGTTACTAGCCAGAAAGGATTTTAATAAAATTGGAGAACACAGACCTGCTTCTTCAGGCTGACATCAACAGATGCGACGTTGTTAAAATACTGAGACATGTGGGAAGTCTAGGAAACATTGTTTTGTAGGCTGATAACTTTTGTGTGCGTATGTTTTAAAAATTTATTACTAAGGCTGGATTATATTTTTCATTGGCGCTGAAGTGCTGTTTTTAAAAGAACAGCTAAGTCTTCTCAGAAATGTCTAAGGGACATAAATATTGCTTTTTGGTTTCAGTAAAAATCCACTGTGAAAATGGTTTTAAATGACTTAATTGCCCACCTCTGATACTTTCTCGCCTGAAGAGAAGCAGGTGGTGGTGCTGAGAAGTTGGACATGGTGGGTGTCCAGGAGAGAAAGGGGAGGAGAGAGGACAGGGCCGCCTTGGGGTTCTGCCCGAGGCCTGGAGGAGACAGCGGCCTCTGAGCCAGAGAGGCTGCACGGAAGGAATACCTTTCTCTCTGCAGACATGCTATGCGTCCTTTTGTGGGGAGAGGCAGGCATTTAACATGTAACTTCTTCAGTTTTCCCAGGGGATTCTTCAGTTTTCCCAAGGAAAGTCTCAAAAAAATGGAAAAGCCTGCAGGCGAATCTCTGTTCTGCCAATTATTAAGCAGTTTAGGAGCAAGTGCTTAATTATCTCTAAGATGGGAAAAATAAATCCTTACCTTAATGGTTGCTAGGAGGCCCAAATGAGGCAATGACAATGATGGTGCTGAGGGCGATGGCCCACATGTACCGGGTGCCAGACACAAGTCTGCATGTGTATAAGCTCATTTAATCCTCACAACAAACCTCTTGTGTAGGTACTAATAGTATCCCCATTTTACAGATGAAGAAACTGAGACTCAGAGCAATACCAGAAAATGACAAACTAAGTCGATGTGGGTTTGAGTACCATATAAAATATAAAGTACCATACAGATATTAGTTATCATCACCTAGCTCAAACTCCCCATTTGAAATATGAAGAAATCGCTTCAGAGATGGGATGTGAGGGCCCGAATCGCACAGCTGGCTAACGGCAATGTCACAGCAGGAGCCAGGTCTGGGAAGAGCATAAGGTTTTCATATGGACTGAGGGAGAGACCGGACTAGATTTCATCTTTACACAAACAAAATCATATCCTGTTTTCCAGGATCAAGGAATTGGAAAGGACACTAGATTTTTTTTTTTTTTTAAATTATCATGGCCCTCACTTAGCAACGTGACAGAACAGAGTGTCCAGGTCCTGCACTTAACTTCAGCCCAAATGTAAGATATTGAAGTCACAGCACGGCCCAGGGAGCTGAAAGAAGGCGTCACAACATCTTTATGGGTTTGAACAGGAGGCCCCTGTGCATTCGGGAAAGTGATGTTAACTGCAAGCCCTTGTGCTGACTCTGAAATTAATTGCCAGCAAACAGCCTGGCACAAAGCTAAATAGATCGATATCTGTGAGAGAAAAAGAAATAGGCTTTCAACAGCCTTGGGCTTTCCCAGGTGGACAGTAAATGCCACTGTGGCCAGGGTGTCCCTCTGATCCACCTGGCTGACTGTGCTGAGTGTTGTAGGGGTGGGGATCAGGTGAGGGGGTGTGTCCCTCCTCAATTTGCTGAACCCCTGAAGGACTTCATGCACTCTTCCCTGAAGGAAGCTTGGGTACCCTCTGAGTTCTCCTGGTGGGCAGGGGCACAGGAGCCAAGTGCTCTCAGGGTGCAGGGATGGAGGGGGCAGGGCTTGAGACGAACGCAACAATCTGGGCCAGGTGTGGTGGCTCACGCCTGTAATCCCAGCACTTTAGGAGGTGGAGGTGAGAGGATTGCCTGAACCCAAGGGTTCAAGACCAGCCTGAGCAATGTGGCAAGACCTTGTGTCTATGATAAATAAGACAATTAGCTGGGTGTGGTGGTGCACACCTGTAGTTCCAGCTAATTAGAAAGTTGAGGCAGAAGGATAGTCTGAGCCCTGCAGGTCAAGGCTGTAGTAGCAGTGATCATGCCACTGCACTCCAACCTGGGTGACAGGGTGAAGCATGACTCGAAGGAAGGAAGGAAGGAAGGAAGGAAGGAAGGAAGGAAGGAAGGAAAGAAGGAAGGAAGAGAAACAGCAACTGGCAATAGT